AATGATATTATCTCATGGTTTTCTTTTGAGAAATACCTGTTTTACCCTGCTTTGTTTTGTATGCTTTCTCTGTTTGAATCAAATACTGAAGTTAATTTTTGAATCTGTTCTTCCGGTCCGGTATTCTACGTTTTTGCAATGATATTGTGATATTCGTCAGGACTGATTCAAAATGCGGTATAAATTTTCTGTAAAATTTAGCTGTAAATTTCTCTCATATATCCGTAAAGCTGAAACTAATTATGTCAGAATTTCTACCCTTTCACCATCATATATATCGCAAATTATCTTCTAAAACGAAGTTCTTTAGAAATTTTTAATATTATTTATCATATTTTAACGGTTTTCAAAAGCCCGTTTGTAGTTTTTACCTATTATAAGGCTACTGCAGTTCTAAGTAATGGCCGAGCACCTTGTGCTACAGCAGACACGAAATTTAACTTGTTGAATTTCCACTTTCAAAATACAATTTCCAAATTTCTCTTTTTGATCATACATTCTGTTTGTTATTCTTCAATTTCATTCAGTTTTTATTATGTCTGAAAAATGCGCGTAGAGCCTTTAAAACTTAGCTGTGCACAGATTGGAAGTTGTTAGTCTAGAACGTCATCTATCCGCATAGTCTCATAGAGACGACATTTATGGAAAGAGAAACAATAATCTGAGCATTTAGCTTAGCCGCACCATTTCATGCTATAGGAGTGCCGTTCTGCTCCAAGTTTCATCGAAATTCAATCATCAAATTGATAACTTGATTAGTCAGGTTGTAGAGACATTAGTTTATTTCAAAGCAGAACAGATGAAAAATGAGCAATGCCCTCGCCGGGACTCGAACCACGGACCTTTGAGAATCTTCACTACACCACGAAGTCATGCTAAGAAGGCGGGAGAAATACCTAATAAGGTTGTAGAGACATTAGGATTTTTTTGGAGGCCGGCGAGATAAAAAATTAGCAGCGCCTTCGGCGGGAATCGAACCATGGGCCTCTGAAATACCGGCCTAGCGTGCAGAACCACTACACCACGAAGGCACGCTAGGAAGGCGGGAGAAATACCTTATATATTCCTCCTCTTAAATGGCGACTGGAGTTTTTAGGGGACCCAGTTGCCAAATCCTAGGTGTAGAGAATCCTTATCCGACACCCTTTTCTATTTCGGGCGCCGCTGTAGAGATATTAGGATTTTTTTGGAAGCCAGAGAGATGAAAAAGTTAGCAAACGCCTTCGCCGGGAATCGAAGCACGGACCTCTGGAATACCGAGCCAGCCTGCAGAACAACTACACCCCGAAGGCTCGCTAGGAAGGCGAGAGAAATACCTTATAAGGTAATCAAGTCATCAAAGGAAAAGGACTTCGGAGATTGTCCCGTTTGGTGCAGCAAAATTGGGGCCAGACAGTGGCTCAGCTTATATACTTCCCCTTTGTCTATTGCAGTGGAGATCCAGGTGCAAATGTCTCGGAATACGCAATTCAGCCGCCACTGTTGGATGTGGGACTGCGCAGCACACGTCCCATTCGTGTGCTTTTGTTGACCAAGGGTCCTCGTCAACTATGCCCACAGCTGACCCGGGAACATTGAGATCTGCCTAGTAAATCTCGATTTCTCATTAATAGAATCGATTATCGTGTCAGGATACTCCTTTTTCCAGGCGAACAGTTGCTCCTCCTCTGTATAGGAGGTTATACACTGACTGGTGGTGTCGGTATTACGATATGGGGAACATTCCCATGGGCGGCTCTAGGATCTTTATTTGTGGTAAAAAGACTACGAAAGCTGAAGAATATCGGAGCATAACTGGGGATCAGTTTCGCCCTTACATGGCGTCTGTTTTCCAACTAGAAAGGAAATCTTTCAGCAGGATAACGCCTCATGTCATTAAGTTCGAATTGTGTTGCAGTGGTTCGAGGAGTATGAGGATGAATTCCAGTTAATGTTCTGGTCACTTAACTCTCCGTATCTTAACCCGATAGAGCACATTTAGGATGTCATGCAGCAGACGCTTAGAGTTCAAACACCAACAGGTTGGTATATCTCGACTTTGCGTGACCGCTGTTTAGACATTTGGTCCAACCTGTGTCCAAATCATCTACCAAAAACTTGTGACATCAATGCCGAGGTGAGTTGCATTTGTTCTTCAGGCCAAAAGTCATGTAACGCGTTATTGAGTAGGTAGTCATAATGCTTTGGCCCTTCCGTGTATAGGCTTATTATTTTACAATAAAATCCTAAAATTTATTTACACTACTGTGGCTTTGTTCTGCGATGTTAAGAAAAGAAGAACGTATATTTATAACTTTTTATACGACAAATAAGACTGTATCATGCGCAGATGATCTTGCATTTTCGGAGAACAAGACAGACTTTGTCTTTTTAAAAAATAAAATAGAGCATGCCTATTTAAGCTTCGTATATTGAACGCATTTCTGTAAAAAAGATAATTAGTGGTTTAAATGCTTGCCGCAAACTTCCGTTCATGCAAAATGAAACCAGATGCAGTTTATAGCTTCATATAAGAAAGATAATTACAGGCTTAAATATTTCCGCTAAACTGTCTGGTTATGTGAATCAAAACAGGCCATGCCTATTTGAATTTCACAAATTGAAGGTATTCTATAAGAACGATAGTCAGACTTTTAAATGTTTTTTATAAACTACCTTTTCATGTAAAGTAAAATAGGTAATGCGTATTTGAACTTTATCTGCAGAAGGTGTCAGGTAGACGCTTATAGTGATGTAGATAATTATAATGATAGGTGTAAGGTAGATAATTATAGCCGACCTCCGATTAACCGGCAGTTGGATTAACTGGGTTATGAGTTAACTGGATCCTGTCTAGAAAATGATTAAGTCTATTTATTAAGGAACGATTAAGAAAATACTGTTGTAAAACATCAGAATCAAAGAAAACTGTTTACGGAAAACACTCATACACAAACACACAGACACATACACAAAAGAAAGTAAAAAGAAAAGTGTTTTGAAAAACATTAGGTGTTGTTGCCGCGTCTATGATAAAGCCTATTCAAATAGTGCCAAGGGCAAAGATGACAGCATTAGCAATCTGCAAAATGTTATCATCGTAGAGGTTTGGTCTCTTAAACAAGACCCCCATTTTTAACAATTCAGCAAGGATGAACGGATAAGCAAAAATGTATGCAGTTGTCACTTCTGTGTCTGGACAACAGATATATGTATTCGTCAGATAACAACAGAGATAGAAAATGATGTCTGATAGATGAAATCTGCTCCAAAACAAAAAGCTCTGTAATTGATAATTTTAAGCGAGCTTGAATTCCTTAATGTTTTTCAAATCTCATATAAATGATATTGTTATTTAATGCTAATTATAACCTAGTTTCTTCATTTCTGGAGATAATTAATCTTCTGATATTTTCAACATATCATTTTTCTCTTTTTTTGTTTTGTTTAGAATCCTGGTTTAAGGTATTGTCAAAATATTACTAGTATTTCTTGATTAATTATGATTAAGGTCATTTCTCTTTTCTGCGCTTTTTAACTGCCATGAGATTAACCATGGACGTCATCGACTTCGGATGTGCTTGTTGCGAGCTGCATGTTTTTAAGTATGTTTCTTTAATAATATTTATGAGATAATCTTTAAACCGCAGTTTAATACTCTTTATAAAATGTTAGGGCGCACATATATGACAAGTACGGCTTTAAATCATTTTTAAGGAGAAAGAACATTATATTATTTTTGATGGCGCACATATATGACGAGTACGGCGTCAAAGTCATCTTAAAGAGAAAAAACATGATATTACTTCCGATGTTTCAAAAATAATGTAATGTTTTTTCTCCTTAAATATAATTTAAAGCCGTACTCGTCATATATGTGCGCCCTAACATTTATAAAGAGTATTAAACTGCGGTTTAAAGGTTATCTCATAAATATTACATTGCAGAAACATACTCAAAAACATGCTGTTTACAATAAGCACATTTGAAGTAGATGACGTCCATGGTTAATCTTATGGCAGGCAAAAAGCGCAGCAAAGAGGAATAGAATAACCTTAATTAATAATAATTTACTTTAGAGAAATTTCTTGGATTCATACGATTTGTAGGCAAAGATTTGCTTGGCCGATTTCAAAAAGCTAATATTGTTGTAAACGGATGAAATATTTATGTTTATTTGATAACAATTAAATTTGATTTACTTTTTATGTGTTATATATTGCTTTTACTTATTATTAATTATTTGTTTAGTGCATTTTGTGTAACAATTTTAGCGTGCGATTTTGTTTAATTGAATTTGTGGCTACATTCTACGTATGTGAACTACTTTCTACGTATCTACATACATCTCTTGTGTTATATTGAAGAACACTGAATTCTGAATTGATCAAAACTTAAATTTTAAAGGTAATTCAAAAGAATCAAAGACAAGTCAAAATACTCCTGTTAATAATTGAAGACTTGTCTATATTTTGAAAGTTTTCGGGAAACGGTTGTCTGAAGCTCTCGAAGAGATTTTTCTTAAAGCATCCAGAAATGCGTAAACAAAACTTATACGAATATTTGCTACGTAAAACACATCAGTTTAATCGTTTATTCAGAGTCCTATGACTGTATTGAGCCCATACGTTATTATTACTTTAGAATTTGCTTTGAGAGTGATTTTATTGATTTCTGTTGGAGTTTATCTTGATTTGAACTAGCTTTTGCAAATTAAGGAAAAATTGAAGTATTTATGTACTTTTGTTAAGATATTACATAGGTTAGATAGTTCGTATAACAAGGGAAACGGCTATACGGTGTTTACCTTGGTGTAAGTTATTATTCATTTCAATAAAGTGTCGGTTCATTCCTGTTAATCTGGTTTAGTTATTAAGCATATCTTTAGGAATCAAAAGCTCGCGAAATTATCAGAATAAACTCTTTTTATATACAAAAATTATTTAACTAATTTGGATTGCTTTTCTTCCTTATGGTTCATGTTTCATAAAACTGTGAACATTCTGGCAACATGGCTGCTATTTTATTTACCGATAGTTTTATTGCACTTTGCTTACATTCTTAATACAATAATTTCAAGTGTTAAAATTATAAACAATGATATTTCATTAATAGAAACTGTACAAAGATAAAATTTACAATACTAGTTCAGCGACATGTGCTGGTTTAATACAATGGAGCCACAATTGAAGACCACTTTACAGTTACAACATCTTTTTTTTTAAGTATTAACTAGCTTAATGAAAACAAAGATGTATAATACATGACTAGATAATAAGAGAACATAAATAGTTAACTTTCAATTTGTCATACGAATATAGATAGTTACGTCTTGCTCTAAATATATGACATGAATCGGAGCTCAGAAAGATGTTTTATAGTCTTTTTTCCCCATTTTTTTAGAAAATATTTCGTTGAAATGCTTTGTTTAATGTTTACTGCATTCATGCCTTCATCTTCATTAGTATACTACAGATTTGCGTGTGATTTGAAGAATAGGAAAAGAAATTTACCTCAACAACTTGAACTTGTCTTTGATTAAAAGAAGTTATTTCTCTGTCTTATTTCATTACACATCTTCAGTGAACTTTGGTTCAGTTATACATTTCTTTTATTTTGATTTAACTATTAATTACTGTATTAGAATGAAGTTTAAGTTTTAATGTAGACCATAGTAGTGCTATCTTGCTATCTGAATATCAGTATCAGATGTTAATTGCTAGAGAATTTTCCTTTGATGTTTTTAGGCCTTTTCTTTTATACACAAAGATTTTAATTTTCGGCCATAGGTTTCAATCCTATTTTTATTTCGATACATGTTTTAAGTGGAACTAAGTCAAATACATCTTTCTCTTGTATCTGCGGGCATAATTACGAATATGCATCATAGTCATCATTCAAGACGTAGCCAAACAGATGAGACACTTTCAGGCAGTTTTGGTGTAATCTAAAGCAGTCATCTATTCACAAATTACTCATAGTTACAAACGAGTCGTATCTGTTTGGCTTCATGAAGCAAACGTAGGCTAATGGAGCTGCCTAAGGTCTGAATGTTGAGTTTCTTTGTGCCTTCTGAGATCAACCTTCCTCTGGAATGCCCGTCCACAAATATCACAAGCGAAAGGTTTGAAACCTGTATGCTTCCTACTATGTGTGATAAGATTCGATGACTGGCTGAAAGCTTTTCCACAGACTGTGCACTTGTGGGGTTTTTCACCTAAAATAAAAAACACAGATGAATATTTCAGGAAAGATGCATGCATTGTAAAGAGCATTAAATGAACAGAGATGAAATTCATCCTGCAGGTTTTCAGTGCGTGGTGTTCAGTTAGATGGTTTAATATACCAGGAAATCTCTATTCTTGTTTTTTCCTCGTATGTTTTAGTACGATCGTAGAGAGCTGCTGATTTTTTGTAAATCTAAAGATGCAAGGTTCATAACTTGAGTATAATATGGTTCATTTTATAAGTTAAAGCAGTGTAAGTCTACAGTGGATTTTCATTAACGTTCGTTGTTATTTGCGCAGTTAAATATTGATCAATATTAATACACACTTCGGAAAAAAAGGGACAGTTCTATATCTCCCCTTCTGGGCCGACTGACGAAATTCAAATTGCGTTTTTCATGTCTCGAAAGTGCGACTTAAGATATGTATTAGGTTTATATATAGCATCGTTATAATATAGGAATTTTGACACAAAATGAAACTTTTTCTGAAATGACATGCCAATGTTTTTCCATATTTAGATTCTACGACTCATATTATGTCTAAATATTAAATTTTGTAAAATTTGTTGCGAAATTTACTGAGAAAGTCAAAAATTTACCTTGTCGCATTTTTTTTCAGTTTTCGCCGAGAATAACTCACTTGGCGCACTTCTTAATATATGGCAACCTATTTTCCTTTCCCTTTTGATACTGTGCATGACCGGATACAAATTCACGTCGTTCCAACTTTCAAATAATTTTAACAAAGGACCTAAATCGCATGTGAAGTTATTATCGTTCTCAAAAAATATGCCAAATTTCAAAACGCGCCAATATATAAATTCTCGTATATCTTCGAGGGGCCCACCAGCGGCCGAGCGGTAAAGTCGCTGAAAAACTGGTAGTTCGGTCCGAGGTTCGAATCCCGCAAACGGGCTGGCTGCATGGGTGTTTTCGTGGTCTTCCCCACGTGTAACGTGTATACGAGCCAGTTTTCCTTATAAAGTCCTCCACGAAGGCATCCCTCCCCCTTAGGCAGATAGCCCTCGAGGCTTTGCCATAATCACACACACACACGTATATCTTCGAAAATTTTGAATAAAAAACTCTAATTCTTTGCAGGTATGCTTAGAAATACATCTACTTTAAGTTGGGGGTAAAAATGTTGTAGTTCAAAATTGTTTTCGAAAAATTTATAAAAGTTATTTAAAATACATATTTTAAAAATAAATCATAAAAAATGAGCGAATTTTATATGGAATGAGCCTAAATTTTGAAATGGGAAAGGATGAATCAAAGAAGTTTAGTAAAGAAAAGATTAATAAATATGTGTCAAATTCAATTAACATTGAGGAGGTAAAACTTTGATAGCTGAGTTTTTAAAAATTCCTCGTACGCGTTTTATAAAACTTGGCAGTTTGACATAATTTGAGTCACAGAATCAAAATATGAATTGGCATGTGATTTCAGAAAAAGTCCGATTTTGTGTCAAAATACCTATATTAGAACAATACTATGCATAAATCTAATACATATCCTAAGTCGGCTTTCGAGACATGAAAAGCGCAAGTTGAATTTTGTCAATCGGCTCAGTAGAACGGGAGATATAGAACTGTCCCCCCTTTTTTTGCACAGTGTAAGAGGATATAACTTTTATCTTGAACGGGCAATAATTATTTTTCATGTTAAAAATTCTTTGTGGGATGTATCGCTCGACAGAAGTTTTGATTATATTCTAGAATTCAAAAGCCACAGAATAAATCTGTCGCCTTTGCCCGTATGCATTTGTGTTTTCCATCTGGGAATTTATTTTGATTTGAGCTAGCTCGATTAAGAAAGAGTCCCTTCTGAAGCCTCTTTTTTTTATTAAAAATGACGTTATTCATTATAAATTAAAAAATAATCTGCATTTTTCATGGATTATTTTTGGAAGTTTAGATAATTTAGCAGGCCTTTTGTTTTAGATATCATTTGCATAAATTATATGTTAATCTTATATTTTTAATAGAAACAATTCGAAGAGTTTCTTTTATATAAAGGAACTGTATGATTTTAATGCCTTTCCTTATACAAAAATTATCATTAAAAATATTTTTATTTTATTTATTTATTAATTTTTTTGAAGTAGCAATCAGTTTTTAGAAATATTTTTATTTAAGCTATAAAGAAGGAAGTAACATGAATTTTTAGGAATGTATGTCTTTCAGAAATATTTCTGCAGTCCTAAAAGTAAACTAATTACCAAACGTTTCAAAGTGTACTAAATTATAATTCAGTAAGAATTCAGTAATTAGAGGAAAATTATAATTCAGTAATAAGAGGTGATCCTGCAGTCCTTTCTACTTTAATTAATTATAGATGTTTACAATTAATATATAGTCGTAAGAGATTTATTACTTCCATTAATGCTTCTTAATTATTTTTCAAAACACGTGAGCTTAACCGCATTTCAAGAGCGGGGTTGCTTACTGCTGACGGTAATTTATCGTCCCTTACTAGAATCAGCTAGCATATAAACACAGATTGAATTTTTAGAAATATACATGATTTGTCCGTTCCTAGTAGGTTGCCACTAAAGCTAGAATATACAACTCAAAAGGTCGATCAGCTTATAACTGTAACGATAACAATTAGGCGATCTTTTTCCTTAAAAATCACATAGTCACATAATATTTAAATCACATAGTCGCTTGGTGTATGTCCGAAATATTTTCCAAATATTCTTATTTCTGACTTACACCGGTAAATGTCGACATTCACCATGTACTAATGGTGAATTTTGAACATATAAGAGTATTATATTTTCTTCGTAATTCAGTCGCAAAAAACGCGCTTGAGACTTAAAATAAGAACTTAAGAACATAAGAACTTAAAGCACACAGTACATTCAAAATGAGAAAGAAAATTAATAGAAATTAAAAATTTACTTAATTATACTGTATGTTATAAATGACAAAATAAAATAATAGTAATAAAAAACTTACTAAATTATGTGATTCGGCTAATCTTTGGAATATGGTGGTTTGGCGACATTTTGGTAAGGCGATAAAGGTTACTAGGTAGGATTTTAGCAATAATCTGAGTGCGCAATGCCATTTTTGTGCAATTCTGAGATGTTTTTTTTAAGTGAAACTAGGTCGACGTGCACATGGATACCGCGTATGTGCAATTCTTAAAAACGCGCGAAGCAGTGGGCGATTCTGCACTTTCCGCCAATTTTTCACCTAGTCTTCGTCATGATTAAGCATTTTTGTTCCATAAAAGCTCTAGCATAAGCGTAATTCGGCTAGAAGATTGTTGGAAAAAATGTTGAGTAAAAAAAAATGTCTTTACTTCATGAAAACAAAATGCCGTCCAAAAAAAAAACTAGCAGATTGCTGTAGCAGGGTAAGTCGCCAAATTTTCGCCAAAAAATCGCCAAGTTACCATAATTTGAAGATTCACCTGTGATTCAAATCTTATTTATTGCAACAACTTAAAGTATTATGACACTTTATGACCTCTCTTTTCGACCTACACCAGAGCATATCTGTGATTGTCGACATAGACCGGTGAGGGTCCGAATGTACAAGAATGTAATGCAATATTCGAATGTTGACATTCTCCGGTGAAAGTGGACATTCTCCAATTTCGGTCTTTCACGGTAACATATATAAAAAATATATCATCGCTCGCATACACACTTATCTCTACAGGTACTCCTAACTACAGCTACTCGCATTCCAGTCCTTTTTTATTACTGCGCGAGCTTCGATGCTTAGCGCGGTGCCAGCTTAAAGTCCGATTATGATATACACATCGATAGTTCTCGATATACCACAAAACAGGTACAGGTCCTTCTTCATCAGTAGCAAAGAAATCTGTAATGAAAGGAAAGCCATGGTCTTATTTAAACCAAAATGGAGCAAAGCGAACGAAAGTAGCGCCGTCTATCGGGAGAAATAGTAACGGAAATAGAAAAATTAAGTGAATATAATTTTAAAAGCATTTGAAAGGGCTGGATTAGAATTAAAGTCATTCATTAAATGAGATAAATTTTCGCTAATGTGAAAAGCTTCAAGAAAATCTAATTCACCAATGGAAAAAGCTTTTGGAAAAATTTTGCTGACCAGAGTTAATTTCGCCTTTTCGGGCATATGATTCCTGTTTCTTGATGCGAACTTTAACTTTCTAACCTGACTGACAAGATGTACCATAAATTTTCCAAGAATTACAATCAGAAATGGAGTCTTTAAGAATCGCTACACAAACAAACTCGAACAGCAAACGGAAAACATTAATTAACTCCGATCTCAGAGAAGTGTAGGCTATTGTTAAAGTCTCCTGAGCTGTAATGCGGGTTTTTGCTCCGTTAAACTTAAGTTGTAATTAATCTTCTGACATTTGGTTTAGTTTCCTAACAATTAGCTTTATGTTTTGTTTTGTCATGTACCTGTTCAGTCCAGCAAAGTTTATGGCAAGCAGCAAAGGTTAAAATGGGAAAAAAATGTGGTTGGTACATTCCGGAATAGAAGTTTGGTTACTGGCATATAGGACCGCGCTTCGGAGTAGAATAAACACCTGGTGTTCTCCCATTTGATAAGTGTTGAAAGTTAGTATTGCTTTTGTGGTCCGACCCAGCTAGTGTTGTTGTTTCGCCCAGAGTTACTGAAGTTGTAATGTGGCTTATAATAGAGTTCCAGCAAGTTGCTGTGAACAAGAAAGTGAAAATCTTGTATATTATTTTATGTGTAACCCCACCAGAAGTTGTGAGGAATAAAGTCTTCTGCTAAAATTTATTAGTCCAAATGGGCTTTGTTCCTGAAGGATTGTTGTTTTGCGTTGAATCACTATAAATGTCCGTTTCACTTTTCAAACTGTTGCCACCAAATGTTAGAGTCATGCATAATATTTGAAGAAATTAAATAATGAAAAATCTGCATAAATGTATGTATATTTCTCGCATTGTGATAAAACAACGGTACATAGAGCCATCGACTTTTCAATGACGTAATCCTCCTACGAATATG